TGCAGTTCCTACTATCTCTCATTGAACATGATGATTGATGAGAGCAGACTTCTCTCAGCGAAGGCAGTTCTGGTGTGTGAATCCAAATTTTGAAGCTAAAGTTACTTTGGAAACAGGAAACTAAGATTACATCTCGGAAGTGCAAGAGAAACCTCAGATATGGCTCTGTGTCTAGTTTATGAAGCATACTGACAATGTCATTAGGAAACCAAGCTGACAGGAACAGGACTGTACAATTATAGATCAGAACTGGAATCACCTCACAGCCAATCTCTCAAAGTTGTGAGAGCTAGAATTTACAAATCCCACGAGACTGCCAGTAATCTATTGTTTTCTCATTATTACTCACTAATACTACCATTGGGATAATCACTGGATAGCTACCAAAAACCAAAAGAAATGCAGATGCTATAAGTCAGAGACAAAAATAGAAACTGCTGGTAAAGGTCAGCAAGTCTGGCAGCATCTGTGGAGAGAAATCAGAGTTAACATTTCAGGTCAAGTGACCCTTCCTCAGACCTGCAGTTTTCAGGAAGGGTCACTTGACCTGAAACATTAACTCTGATTTCTCCCCACAGATACTACCAGACCTGCTGACCATTTCCAGCTATTTCTAGTTTTGTCTCTGACTTACAGCATCTGCAGTTCTTTGAAATTTTTGAGTAGGTGTTATAAGCTTAAGGTGAGGGGGAATCAGTTTAAAGGAGATGTGCAAGGGAATGTTTTTAACAGAGAGGTGCGTGGAACGTGCTGCCGGGGGAGGTGGTAGAAGCAGACACACTAGCGAGGTTTAAGAGGCATTTGGACAGACACATAAATGGGGAGGGAACAAAGTGATATGGACCACATGCAGGCAGCTGGGATTAGTTTAGAATGGCATCATGGTCAGCACAGACAAGGTGGGCCAAAGAGCCCGTTCCTGCACTGCATTGTTCAATGTTCATAGAATCCCTACAGCGTGAAAGCAAGCCATTCTGCCCTTCTGGTCCACACTGACCCTCTGAAGAGCATCCCACCCACACTCATCCCTTTATCTAATCCTTGTAACTCTGCATTTCCCATGGCTTCCCCACCTAGCCCGCATACCCCTGGACACTATGGGCAATTTAGCAAGGCCAATTCACCTAACCTGTACATCCTTGGACTATGGGAGAAAACCAGAGCATCCAGAGGAAACCCACGCAGACACGGGGAGAACGTGAAAGCTCCACACAGCCTGAAGGTGGAATTGAACCCAGGTCCCTGGTGCTATGATGCTGCAGGACTAACAACTGAGCCACTGTGCCACCCTGACCTGCTGAGCCCTGCTATCATTCTGGTAAACTGGTGATCTGCTCCTTCAAGGCCAACACATTGTCCCACTTTCTGACCACGTGTTGTACTTGGATAATCTTACACAGTGAGGCTAAAGAGTTGGAGACATCTGCTGACTCATCCAGGGAGGAATAACAGACATCTGCTCTCCCTGGTTTGCAGGGAACTCACACCCAAGTTAAGTCACACATACAACTTATTTGATAAAAGCTGTCACTGCATAGATTGGATGAGGTCTGGAATTATTTCGTAATGACTCGAGGCAACTTGAAGACATGGTGGTCCATTAGTGCTCCGAATTAGCTTTGTTCCATTGGGAAATGCTGGACATCGAATGGCTGAGGAGAGTTCTCTTTTCTGTTCTGATCTAGAATGTGCTGCCTGAAAGGGTTATTGAAGAGAACTGGAGAAAAATAATTGGATATACACCCGAAGGGAAAGGTTTCCAGAAATGTGGGAGGGAGCCAGTGAGTGGGATGAATTGGGATAGCTCTTTCAAAGAGCCAGCTCAGGTACAATGGGCTGAATGGCCTTCCTCTGAGAATATGATTCTACATCAAGAAGATTGTCCATTTGAAGCCCGATTTCAAATGACCAGCCTGCATTGAGCCAAACTTTGCACAGTCCAGATTCACACAGTTTGTAACACTACAGGTAATTGAGAAATCACTTTCCACAGTTGGAGTTTCTCATACTATTGCACAGTTAGATAAAGCCTTTGGCTAAGCGTTCATTTTTCAACATCATTGTGAAAGAATTTTCTAGAACTAACATCAGCACAAAGCAGCAAAATACCTCGGAGAAGCCTCTGTTGATTTGTTAGCACTTTCCTCATCTCACACAACCAGGCCATCTTAACTTCCACCGATGGAGCCTGAGGAGAAACAGAGCGGATCGTTCTTCACTGTGTAAATCACTTTAAACCTGCTCCTGAAGATGTAGGTTCTTTAGATTTGAAATACAGCCATGTCAAACACACGCTCTGACACACTGCCATTGATGGGAAAGGAGGAGCTAGTACTGATTTGGGCAGCCATTGTGAAAGAGTGGTTTGTGATATGCCCCACTCCCTTCAGCCCCTCTAATTGACTGGGGTGGGCAGAGGAGCATTTTTGTTGCCTTCTATCCAGCCAACTCCCAGCGTCATTCTCCCCAACTTCACAGAGTCGGGAATTTTACTCAGAGTATCCTGACATCAGCGCTAAGGACACAGGAAGGAGTCCCCATTATGTATCTGAGTCCATCACTGGAACATGAAGCACGGTCAGTAGCTGCTCTTTGTTATGGCTTAGAGTGTGGGTAACAGGCAAATTGATCAATCTATCTACTGAGAGAAACGTGCACCTTCCTAATTCCTCTGTATTCTTGAATTGAAAGCCCAGGTGACGCTGCCAACCACAATAGGCTACAAAGAGTCTGATTACAGATTGAGAATTTCCATGTGACAACACAGAGCTGGTCTCAGTATGAGTGACCCTGAAGCTGTTGGGTGCTAGTAAAAACCCGACTGACTCACTGTCTTAGAGCCAGTCTTAGGGAAAGATCCTAAGAGATCTTAGAGAAAGAAACCTGTTGATCTGGGTCTATTTATAATGTTAGATTTACATCTACATGGGCAACTCCAATCTAACAGGCCTAGCAAGGCACTTTGTTGCATCAAGTCATTGTAAAGAATTTCATACCGGAAGGAAAAAAAGATTAGTAAAACTTGTGAATGACTCATACTGGTTTGATTTGTTTTGCATTCCTCAAAACAGTGCTCTAGAATGACCAGAACATTCATTTCCAAATATTACTGCTTTTTTAAAATTGGCTTTCCCAACAATTTGGAGATGGTCTAATCACCATCCAGTTAGGGCACTGAGCAATGGTCAATAAATGTCAACATTTCCAGCAATACTAAAACCTGGGTTTGTTCCAGAGAAGGTAAATTAAGACGATGGTAATAAGCAGTGGTCAGTCAATGAAGGACAGTGACATTGGAGGCTGTATCTGGAGGATCTGAACCTGTTTTTAACACATCGTCCCTGGGAATCCATGACATGTATCTCCCAGATTCAGTGATCCAGGTGATCCACTGCAAACCTCTGCTGATGTCCTTGGAGTCAGGGGAACGTTGCATTTCAATGTTAAGTGATGGTACCATGAGCAAGGCTGCTTGGCTGGCAAGGGAGGCTGCATACAGCTAGACTGCGTGAGAAAGTACGACAGTGTGCCTGGCCCCACCACCTCCGACTCTCTCCCTCTCTCTCCACCAGCTTTGAAAATGAGCAAACATTTTTTCACGGAGAATTGTTTCCAGTTGGGGACTTCAGGCCACAGTCCAGGCCTTGATCTCACATTGGTTCCACTACTGCTTCTATGCAATGTGTCACCAGGACTGCCATCTATCTGCACCCCAGGAATGTGGGAACTCTCCACACAAGGCAGCTTCAATGCCCCTTACAATTACTGATAGGCAATGTCTGGAGAGAAGGCCTGAGTTCTATCATCAAAATTCATTAACAGGATGAGGGCATCACTGGTTAGGCATTTATTGCCCATCCCTAATTGCCCTTCCCAGAGGGCAGTTAAGAGTCAACCATATTGCTGTAGGTCTGGAGTCACATGTAGGCCAGACCAGGTAAGGATGGCAGTTTCCTTCCCTAAAGAACATTAGTGAACTAGATGTACTTTTTTTCTCCCCCAAGATAATCAACAACAGTTTGATGGTCAACATTAGACTCTTAATTCCAAATTCTTTACTGAATTCAAATTCCATTATCTGCCATGACGGGATTTGAACCCATGGTTCCCAGAGCTTTTCCCGGGTCTCTGGATTAGTAGTCTAGCAACCAAACCTTTAGGCCATCAGTTCCCCTCCTGGGGAATGGGTGAGAAGGCTAAACCAAAGTGAAGGAATAATGATGAAACCCCGTTATGGATACATATTAGAATCTGGCCCATAAAGACTTCTAAGGAGACATTACCAGCTGGATTCTCAAGCTCGATTTGAGTTTGAAAAGCAACAGCAAATATACTTTCATCCTTCAAATGCTGTCAGTGGATCTAAATGCAAGATAGATTCCAGAAACTCAACAAGTATCAAGTGACAGCACCTCTCAAGCTCCAACCACTTCCATCTGGAAGGTCTTGGGAACACCAACCCCTGCAAGTTCCCCTCCAAGATACTCACCATCCTGACTTGAAAATATATCGCTGTTCCTTCACTGTCGCTGGGTCAAAATCCCGGAATTCTCTCCCTAAAAGGCATTGTGGGTCAACCTACAGCACATGTACTGCAGCGGTTCAAGAAGGCAGCTCACCCACTACCTTTGCAAGAGCAACTAGGGACAAGCAATAAGTTTGCTTTGTCATGCATGCCTACATTGCAAGCATATTTTTAAAAGAAGGAGTGGTTGAGCCCTGTAGTTAGAAGCAAGTCTAATCTCACAAACCCATTCAGTGAATTCCGACTGTAACAAACTCACTTGAATGAGATACACTTCTTCGCGGCCGCTATTCCAGACTTCAAACTTCCGCCGATCTCCTTTAACATTCTCCGTGATCCCAACAGCACTCATCTGACAAATGAAACACAAGAAATATTAAGTTCCTCCAGTCTTCTCTCAGCTGCAAGTCACAGCATTAGATTTGTAAGCAGTATCTTTGAAATATGCAACTCTACAAAATTCCTGGTCAGATGCCTCTTGGAATACCATGAGGCCATCTCGGCACCACATGTTAGGAAGGCTATACTGGCCTTGGAGGGAGTACAGCGTAGGTTTACAAGAATAATATCTGGACTACAGGGCTTAAGTTATGAAGATATCATACAAATTAGACCAGTTTTCTCTAGAATGTAGAAGTTTAAGGGGTGATTTGATCAATGTCTTCAAGATATTAACAGGAAAAGACAGAGTAGAATAACTATTTCCACTGACTGGGGGTTCTAGAACTAGGGGTGTAGTCTGAGAATTAGGGCCAGACCGTTCAGGAGAGATGTTATGAAGCACTTAACAAAGGGTGGCAGATGTTTAGGACTCTCTTCCACAAATGGCAGTGGATGCAGGATCACTTGTTAATTTTATATCTGAGGTCAATTTTTTTTTGTTAAGGCAAGGTATTAAGGGACATGGGCCAAAGGCAAATACATGGAGTTAGGCCACAGATCAACTATGATCTCACTGAAAGGCAGAACACGTTTGAAGGCTGGATGGCCTACTTATGTTCGTATGTTCCTACGTAAGTGTAACAACAATGGGTCAATAATTATCAGAAGCATTCGCAAAAGGTTAGTGCTCTCTTGCTCTGAGTCAGGATTATTAAACTGACAATGTTGACACTGATTCCATGGTGAATCCATCTGCACTCACTGTCATCACTTCACTGAAACTGATATCTGATATCTGCACATTCACAGAGGAGGGTAGCAATTGCTGTGAGGTTTAGAAACTCACTTCATCAACTGCGGGTTGGGGGAGAAGCGCGGCCTTTACATATTTGTAAGACAGAGGTAGATAGGTTTCTGGTAAACAAGGGGGTGAAAGGTTATCATGGGTAGGTGGAAATGTGGAACTGAGGTTGGGATTAGCCATGGTGACCTCACCTCCCCACCATTGGCAGGAAACAAAGGGGAATCTATACATCAATTAATTGATGGAAACTTTCACTTTACACTAAAGAAATCCTGAAAATATTACACCTTGTTGAATGTTACAGATATATTAACTCCATAATTACTGTTCACCCATATTAGCACTGAAAAGATTTCTTTTATTTGGTAAATGACAAGTTCCTGCATCGTAATAAAATGAAACAACATTTTCCAAAGTTGTTTTATCTTGTGATTTTAGTTTTTTTAATCTTAATCCAATCACAAGTCCTGTAGACTAATGGGTGGGAGGGGGGGTAATTGGTTGGGTTGGATTTGTCCCACGTTTTGTGTACAGAATATACCTGGGCAATTTTCCCCACTGTTGGGTAGATGCCAGTACTGGGACAGCTTGGCTAGGGGAGAAGCAGGTTCTGGAGCACAAGTCTTCAGTACTATTGCCAGAATGTTGTCAGGGCCCATAGCCTTTGCAGTAGCCAGTATCTCCAACCCATTTTCATATCATATGGAGTGAATCAAATTGGGTGAAGACTGATCATAGAAGATAACAGAATCCCTACAGTGTGGAAACAGGCCTTTTGGCCCAACAAGTCCCCACCAAACCTCAGAGCATCCCACCCAGGCCCATCCCCCTAGTCTACCCATTCCTGAACACTACAGGCAATTTAGCACAGCCAATCCACCCTAAAGTGCACACCTTTGGACTGTGGGAGGAAACCCATGCAGACATGGGGAGAATGTGCAAACTCCACAGAGACAGTCACCCAAGGGTGGAATCGAACCCGGGTCCCTGGCGCTGTGAGGCAGCAGTGCTAACCCCTGAGCCACCGTGCCACCTCATATCTGGTATCTGTAATGCTTGAGACCACTTCAGAAAGCCAAGATGGATCATCCACTTGGCATTTCTGGCTAAATATTGTTGCGACTTATTCAGCCTTTTTCTTTGCATTAATGTTCTGGGCTCCACCGTCATTAAGGATGGGGATATTTGTGGATCCTCTTCCATTTCCGGCTGGTTTAATTGTCCACCAAGATTCATAGCTGGATGTGGCAGAACTTCAGAGCCTAAATCTGTTCCGATGGTTATGGAATCATTAGTCCTGCTGTAAGGGGCCACAAATATTTTCCCTTTTTGGGAATAAAATTAATTGATGTTGGATACTGTTATATTGCGAAAATACCAGAACTGTTTTGCAAATTAAATAAAATGTGGCGTTCGTTTTCAGCTGTACAAAACAGCATTGCTTTTGGAGCAGTGGGAGAGTTACACTATTGAGTGGCACCAAGAGTTACTGAATTAAGGAAAGACTGCCTGACAGATTGGTCAAGCTACAGTTTGCTACAGACTTGTGAGAATTGTGTAGCCAAAATAATTGAGACCTGGCAAACACAAACATCCCTCTCGCCATCTTGGTGTGGGTGAAAAGAGCAAATAAAACAATGTTTAAAAGAAAGATTTCTGACATGAAAAGAGATTTAGGTCCACATGATCAATCAAAGACTGACCATCAACCTATAGACAACAGTGGGTCATCCTCGTTAAAACTTTAAAAAAAAAAGTCAGAAATAATGCTCCACCTTGTGATCTGGATTTTTGATCTTCAGAATTTTATTTTCTATAGTTCTATATTTTCCAACCATAATGTTTGTGTCAAATGTCTGCCTTTTGCCTGTCTTTCCCGTGGACGAATGTGTATATGTTTGGGGTTTTAAAGGAAAATTGTTTAAGTTGCATAGTGGATGGTGTGGGGGGGGGGGGGCATTTTTCTCTGCCATTTGTCAAGGAATAAGATTGTTTACAAAAAAGTTATTTTCCTGTTAATGATGAAACTTGGTGTAAATTACTTTTGTCCTGACCAGCTTTGATGAAACTGGATATGAATGGCTCCAAATTAACCAGCCCAGATCCAAAGGTTGGCAGTAGTGGAACAATATGTTCAAAGAGATAGTCTGCGCACAGTTAAAAATTACTCCCGTGAAAGGGAAAGGTCAGGCAAACGAATCCAGAGCATGTGGAATGACAAGGGAGATAGGAATTAAGGTTAAAAAAAGGCATGTATTTTATATTCAGATGTCAGGTTCAAAACACTATTGAGAACCAGGGTGAAGACAGAATTTTCAGACTGGGAGTACAAAGACAAAAAACATGAAGCAAAGTGGGAGTATGTAAGAGACTGAAAACTAATGTAAAAGGAAACTTCAGACTTGTTTATAGGAATATACACAGCATAAAGGTGGTTAAAAGAAGGGGCCTACTTTGTCTGTCCTGTGATAATTGTTGGTTTACTCTGTTTGATGCCATCAATCCTGTGGCAGACCTGGAGACCCCACTGACTTGGTACCAACTGTTAGCTCGGGGGAAATCACTCAACTGGATGACTGGATCCTGTGGGCAACTTGATTCTGGCTCAGTGAACTTGTTTCACTAATGACCACAAAATCTCGGCCAATACTCTTCCTGACAGGAACGTTTCCCTTCCTTGCCCTCACATTCCCAAAAGAAAAGCCCAATTGCATTCTTGCCGAATTAAAATCTAGTTGCAACACGAAGCAGCTGATTATGGAATCCAAAAGTGCTTCACAGTCAGCGAAATACATTTGAACATGTTGTCAAAGTCATAACATAGAGAAACACGGCAGCCAATATGCATGCAGACCAATTACATGAGCAGCAATGAAATCATGGCTCACAGGACATGCAGGGGGTGATAAATATTGGCTAGGACTGAGGGGAAAGCTCCCCTATGCTTGTTCCAATAGGGTCATGGAATCTCTTCCATCCACATGAGGGCAGACTAGGCTTTGGTTTGACTCTCCATATTCACCCTCTGCCCCATAGCACTCCTTCAGTATTAGCATTGGGTGTGTGGGTGTGGATTACATTGCTCAAATCTTTGGAGTGGGGCTTGAACACATGAACTTCTAACTGACAGACAAGATCTTTACCCATTCAATCACCACCAAACCCTTTAAGAATCACATCGTCCATGCTCCATGGTTTGTGAGCTGTGAAAGTAACAGTGCACATGAACTCTGTGGAGAGGAAGAACTGAAGGCATTGAACCAGTCCTGTGAATAATCAATTCCCCGCAGGCACCAAATGACCAGTGGGCTGCCAGTGCTCTGTCCTACGGGTCATGTTGGTTTGGAGGAAGCGGTAGATGGAGATATAGGGCTGGCACAGTGGCTTAGTGATGAGCACTGCTGTTTCACAGTGTTAGGGACCTGGGTTCGATTCCAGCCTTGGGTGCAGTTTGCACATTCTCCCTGTATCTGTGTGCATTTCCTCCCACGATCCAAAGATGTACAGGTTAGGTAGATTGGCCATGCTAAACTGCCTAGGATGTGCCAGCTGGATGGAGTAGCCTTGAGAGATGCAGGGATAGGGGTGGGGGCTGGGGCTGGGGCTGGGGCTGGGTCTGGGTGGGATGCTCTTTGGAGGGGCAGTGCAGATTCAATGGGCCAAATGGCCTGCTTCCACAATGTAGGGATTCTATGAAGCTCTACAAAAATAGCCAGGGAATGGGCTAGAGCTGGGGCTCTCTCACAAAAGAACCCTTGCATGAAATAGCCACCTGGGGGCACAGGAACACTGAATTTACCACAAGAACAATGACACAACAGCAAACAGTCAGATCCTCTGTCTTACTTTTAAGAAATGTTTGAAACTGTAAGAAGGTGCTTTGTCATAACCTTCTCCATGCTCCTCCCGCTTCTTACAGAATAGAAGGGCAGTCTCGTGAAGGAAGAGATGGCGCTGCATGGGTTTGAAGCGAGCAAGGTCCTTCATCTTGGTGGGACCTTTCTTGTGGTTGATCCAGATGTTGAAAGAGCCCTGCATCAAAAGTGGACCAAATTCTTCCAGGTCACCCTGTCAATCAAAACCTTTAAATCATTCTTCTGTTTAGACTCCACTGTATAATATTAACAAAATTAATTAATAATCAATATAAAATTTACACGTTTCACAGTCATGATGAGCATTTCAGAGATACTTTTCAAGTGTCTCTTTTTTTAGAAAAGTGCATTCTTGATCTGACACTAGAAGGTCCCATATTTCTTGCCCATCCCTAACTGCCCTTAAGGTGGTGGTTCACTGCTATCTGGAATCACTGCAGATCATTTGCTGAAGGTGCCCCTGCAGTGTTTATGTCTCTTATCTCTTTTACTCAATTCATACCCTTCACAAAAATATCTTAGCGTATTCCCCACCTTGCCATTACCATCGGCTGGGCACCAATCTTCGTTCAGTGGAGAGTGCAGGAGGGCCATGGACAGTACTAGGCATAGCTAGACATGAGGTACTAACCCCTTGGTGAAGCTGCAACATAGTACTCCTAGCGTGCCAAATAGCATAAGCAGTAAGCAATAAACAGAGCTAAGTGATCCCACAACCAATGGATCAGATCTAAGCTCTGCAGTCCTGCCACATCCAGTTGTGAATGTTAGTGGCGATTTTAAACAGTTCACCGAAGGCGGAGGCTCCACATTTATCCCCATCCTCAATGATGGAAGAGCCCAGCACATCAGTGTCAAAACAAAGGCAATAATATTTAGCCATAAGTGATCCATCTTGGCCTCCTCCAGTGATCCCCAACATTACAGATGCCAGACTTAGGCCAATTCGATTCAGTCCACTTGATAGCAAGAAATAGTTGGAAGCACTGGATACTGTAAATGCTAAGGGCCCTGACAACATTCCAATAGTAATCCAGCCCTAGTCCACTCTCGATCACCAGTGAAGTGATGGTATAGGTCATTGACAGTGCTCTCAAATTATGCCTTATTCAGCTTCTGATCTCATTGCAGCCTTGGTTCAAACATGGACAAAAGAGGTGAATTCCAGGTGAGGTGAGAGTGACAGCCCTTAAAATCAGAATGCGCCCAACCAAGTATGGCCAAATTTAAGGAGCCCCTAGGAAAACTAAAATCAATGGGGCAAACTCTCTGCTGGTTAGAGTCACTCCTGGCACACAGGAAGATGGCTGTGGTTGTTGGAGGTCAGACATTTCAGCTCCAGGTCATCTCTGCAGGAGTTCCTCAGGCTAGTGTCCTCAGCCCAACTATCTTCAGCTGCTTCATTAATGACCTTCCCTTCATTACAAGGTCAGGAGTGGGGATTTTCATGAATGATTGCATAATGTCCAACATCATTCATAACTCGTCAGATACTGAAACACCCCATATCCAAATGCAACAAGACCTGGACAATATCCAGGCTTGAGACGACAAGTGGCAAGTAACATTCATGCCATACAAATGTTGGGCAATGACCATCTCCAACAAGAGACAATCTAATTATCGCCCCTTGACATTCAATGGCATCTCCATCGTTAAATCCTCCGTGATTAACATCCGGGGGGTTACCATTGACCCGAAACTGAACTGGACTAGCCAATATAACCATAGTAGCTACAAGAGCAGGTCAGAGACTAGGAATCCTGCAATGTGTGACTCACCTCATGACTCCCCAAAGCCTGTCTACCATCTACAAGGCACGAGGCAGGAATATGATGGTGGACTCCCCACTTGCCTGGATGGGTACAGCTCCAATGACACTCAAGAAGCTCTACACAATCCAGGACAAAGCTGCTCGACTAACTGGCACCACATCCCTCATCAACAGCACTGTGGGTCTCCCTACACATAGTGGTTCAAGGAGGTGGCTCATCACCACCTTCTCAAGGGGAATAGCAAAGGACGAATTAAGAAAAGTACTGGACCCTACAGACAGATGAATAAGCCACTCTAACTCTTGAGAGGCAGAAATCCAGAAGTCAACACAGACGAAAAGCCTTAAATCCTAAAAATACCTTAAGACCCAAAAGAAGTGTGACTTTTTTTATTCAATCGCAGGATGTGGGCATCATTGGCCAGGCCAGCGTTTATTGCCCATCCCTAATTGCCCAGAGGGCAGTTAACAGTCAACCACATTGCTGTGGGCCTGGAGTCACATATAGGCCAGACCAGGTAAGGATGGCAGTTAAAAACCAAAAGAACTGTGGATGCTGTAAATCAGGAACAAAAACAGAAGTTGCTGGAAAAGCTCAGCAGGTCTGGCAGCATCTGTGAAGAAAAAATCAGATTTAATGTTTCGGGTCCGGTGACCCTTCCTCAGAAATGATGGTGGCTGGGAACATGTCAGTTTATATGCAGAAGATAGCGAGAGTGGGATAGGGTATGGATTAAACAATAGGATACAGCCAAAAGAGAGAGAAGAACAGTTGGATAAAGGAGTTGATAACGATCTGGCTGAGAGGATGAATAGCTGTTAATGGGAGGGATAGTAGGAACTGCAGATGCTGGAGACAACAAGGTGCAGGGCTGGATGAACACAGCAGGCCAAGCAGCATCATAGGAGCAGGAAGGCTGACGTTTCGGGCCTAGACCCTTCATCAGAAAAGGGGGAGGGGAATGGGGACTGTTAATGACTAACAATAGGAAGTGTGTAATGTAAGGCTATGTGATAACAAGGCTTGGTGTGTGGGGTATGGGGCTGGGATATGGGACAGTTTAGGCCCTAAAATTATTGAACTCGATATTGAGTCCAGAGGGCTGCAGGATCCCCAAGTGGAAAATGAGGTGTTTTTCTTCATGCTTGTGCTGAGCTTCGCAGGAGCACTGCAGCAAGCCAGAGACAGAGATGTTGGCCAGGGAATAGGGTGGTGTGTTATAGTGGCAGGCAACAGGTAGTTCAGGTTCTTTTTTGCAAGCAGAACATAGATATTCTGCGAAGCGGTCACCCAGTCTACGCTTTGTTTCACCAATGTAGAGGAGACCACATTGTGAACAGCGAATGCAGTAGACTAGGTTGTGGGAAGTGCAGGTGAAGTGTTACTTCACCTGGAAGGTATGTTTGGGCCCTTGGATAGTGGGGAGGGAGGTGGTAAATGGGCAGGTGTTGCACCTTCGCCAGTTACAGGGGAAGGTGCCATAGGGCTGTGGGGGGTGTTGGAGATGGAGGAAGTGTGGACGAGCGTGTCCTGGAGGGAATGGTCCCTGAGGAAGGCAGACAAGGGAGAAGAGAGGAATATGTGTCTGGTGGTGGCATCTCGTTGGAAGTGGCAGAAATGGCATCTGATGATCTTCTGGATGTGTTCATGTTCAGAATGGACCTGTTCTGAGGAAGGGTCACCAGATGCAAAACATTAACTCTGTTTTTTCCTTCACAGATGCTGCCAGACCTGCTGAGCTTTTCCAGAAACTTTGTTTTTGTTTTGGATGTGGATGCTGGTGGGATGGGGTGAGGGCGGAAGTGCAGGAGATGGGTCGGACCCGGTTGAGGGCCCTGTCGACAACAGAGCTGGGGAATCCCTGGTTGAGGAAGAAGGTGGACATTTCAGAGGCTCCCTTGTCGAAGTTGGCCTCATCTGAACATATGCGACGGAGATGGTGGAACTGAGAGAATGGGATGGAGTCTTTATAGGAGGCAGGGTGTGAGGATGTACAGTCCAGGTAGCTGTGGGAGTCAGTGGGTTTGTAATGGATATTAGTGGCCAGTCTATCCCCAGAAATGGCAACAGAAATGTCAAGGTAGGGAAGGGAGGAGTCAGAGATAGACCAGGTGAAAGTGAGGGCGGGGTGGAAATTGGAGGCGAAATCAATTAATTTTTCCAATTCCGAATGAGAGAGGAAGCAGCACTGATGATATCATTGATGTATTGGAGTAAAAGTGGTGGGTGGGGTCTGGAATAGGACTGGAACAAGGAACGTTCCACGTACCCCACGAAGAGACAGGCATAACTAGGGCCCATGCGGGTACCCATGGCAACACCTCTTACCTGAAGAAAATGAGAGGAGTTAAAAGAGAAGTTGTTGAGGGTGAGGACGAGCTTGGCCAAGCGGAGGAGGGTGGTGGTGGGTGGGGACGGTTCAGGTCTTTGCTCTAGGAAGAAGCGGAGTGTCCTAAGACCCTCGTGGTGGGGAATAGACGTGTAAAAGGTTTGCAGTTTCCTTCTCTGATGGATATTAGTGATCCAAATGGGTTTTTACAACAATCCAGTAGTATCATCATTACAGTTACTGAAAGTTGCTTTTTAATTCCAGGTCTATTTAATTGAATATAAATTTCCCAGCAAATTATTAGTCCAGATCTTTAGATTACTAGTCCAATAATTTGACGAGTATGCTACCATATCTAAAAATCCACCAGGGCTGAATTAACATGAGATATCGTAAACAAAAACAGAAATTAGCATGCACCAGCTCAAAAATATTGGAATAAATGAATGTTATTTGATTAATTGATATTAAGGGTAGGTCACTCCTTCCCAAAGAGGCACTCACGTTATATCCTGTGATAGCAATTTGGTGCATGGAGTCATTCACTGACTTCAGTAAGTTCAACATGGCTGTGAGAGCTTCCTGTAACTCCTGGGTTCCATCGCCATTACTGCTGAACTTCAATAATTCCTGCCAGGAGACAGCAATTTGCAAATTACTTCAGAGAAATATGCCATTAGCTCAATGAGTTACACTTGACAGCGTGTTTCTGGATGGTTGGTGCTTCCATGAAAGAGCAGAGAATCATCTACGTTCATATGTTATCAGGGTTAAGACTGCATCATTTTGATTGTGGACTAACAATGTTAATAAAAAAGATGTTTTAAAAGCAAGGAGTGTGGAAGGAAATGCTGCACTTTCAAGAACAATTTACTGAAACTCATTGTGTGTGGTATTTACACAGCTGCTTTTTTCAAACAGTTGGGAGCTTGGGAGGCTGGATGATGTTTGTGGATGGCACGGCACCAGAGGAATGTATGCTGAGAGTGATTTGACTGGGAACAAGTAGCTGATTCGGTTTTGTCCAATTGTGACCTATCACGGATGCCACAATGCCTACTGACAAATCACTGATTGGTTCCTGGGTAGCTGAACTGCTTGTGGGTATAAACAATACAGCTAGAAAGCCTTTGGATTACTGGAAGGACAGACTGTGTGCGAGTGTCTCTCCCTCTGCAATAAAAGTATCTTAAACATGGAGAAAGCTAGTTATTTTCTCCCACCAGTTGCCGTAAGCTGTTGCCACTAACCAGTAACTAAGAGACTTCACAGTCTGTGCATCAATTGCTCAGTGCCTCCTGCAAAGAAGGTCAGGAACCTGGAGAAAGGAAAGTGAAGAGAAGCAAATCCGGTCAAGCCAAAAGGAACTTCCCAACAAACCCCGTGGACTGTGGATCCAAAATGCTTTCATTTTCATCCATAAAAGCAACTTTTTTTGTCTATGTCTGTGGGTATCTTATGCTGGGGTTTTTACTCGGTTAGAGTTGTAACTAGTAGAGCTTTGTGTTGATAGTTCATAGCTGTTTACTTGTGATTAGGATGTACTGTTTTGTCAGGAAATTAGACAGGGTTTTTTTATTCACCTGATCCTATCATTTGCTTCCATTTATTTATTGTCATGTGTGTTTATTACAAATACAGTGAAATGTGTTATAACAAGGTGTAGAGCTGGATAAACACAGCAGGCCAAGCAGCATCAGAGGAGCAGGAAGGCTGACGTTTCAGGCCTAGACCCTTCTTCAGAAAATGAAATGTGTTGTTTAGTATTACCACTCTCCAGTGCCATCTTAAAACACAGAAAATAAACCGAAACACAGAATATAAACCGAAACACAGGATATAGAGCCAGAAAAATAAAGCAATAAAGTTCATCTTATGGTCTTTGGTTTATAGTTTGGACCAGCTCCCGCTTCCAGGTCAGCCCTGGGCCTGGATCCAGGCTTCAACACCCTGATCCTCGAGTCCATGCTGCTAAACCGACAACACTGCTGTGACCGCACTTCACTGCACTGCTGCTGCTGGAAGATAGAGTCGCCATTCTCAGGTGCCATTGCACCTCCATCTAATGCCAGTGCTGCAGTGAGTTTGCCCTGGGACCATCTCGCCAATGTAGCCTCTGCCAGTGCTGCAGGGTCCTGCATTGGTCTATACTCGCTGCTGTCCAGGCCTAGCCGTGGACCTGGAGCCTCGGCTCAGCCTTCGAGTCTGGACACAAGGGTTAAGCTTAGAGCCTGCTCACCACTCACTCATCAGGAGACCACACTTGCCTCGATCTGGTGTTGCTGCTGCCATCACTGGACGCTTCCTCCTTCATCATTTACTCGGACTCAGTCAGGAAATTATTGGAAAAGGTTCTCAGGGACAAGATCTATACACATTGAGAAGCAAATGGACTTACTAGTGATAGACAGCATGGATTTGTGCGGGGAGGTCATGCTTTAATAACTTGATCAAGTTTTTTAAGGAGGTAATGAAGATGATTGACGAGAAAAAAGCAGTCGATATTGTCTACATGTACTTCAGCAAAGCCTTTGACAAGTACCCTCATGGTAGACTGGTACAAAAGGTGAAGTCATGTGGTAACAGGGTTGACCTGGCAAGATGGATACAGAACTGGCTTAGTCATAGGAGACAGAGGTTAGCAGTGGAAAGATGCTTTTCGCAACGGAGGGCTTTGACTAGTGGTATTCCACAGGGATCAGTGCTGGGACCTCTGCTGTTTGTGATCTACATGAAAGATTTGGAGGAAAATGTAACCGGTCTAATTAGTAAGTTTGTAGATGATATAAAGATTGGTGGAGTTGTGGATAGTGAGGAGAATTGTCAGAGGATACAGCAGTATACAGATCAGTTGGAGGCATGGGCAGAAAAATGGCAGATGGAGTTTAATCCAGACAAATGTGAGGTGATGCATTTTGGAAGGTCACATGCAGATGAAAATTATACAGTGAATGGCAAAACCCTTAAGAGTACTGATATGCAGAGGGATCTGGGTGAGCAGGTCCACAGATCACTGAAGGTAGCAGTGCAGGTATATAAGGTAGTAAAAAGGGCTTATGGCATGCTTACCTTCATTGGAAGGGCCATTCAGTATAAGGAGAGACAAGTAATACTGCAGCTTTATAGAACTTTAGTTAGGCCACACTTGGAATATTGTGTACAGTTCTGGTCACCACACTACCAGAAGAATGTGGATGCTTTGGAAACAGTACAGAAAAGGTTTACCAGGATGTTGCCCAGTATGGGGGATTTTATCTGTGAAGAAAGGTTGGATAGACTGGGTTTGTTTTCACTGGAACACAGGAGGTTGAGGAGTGACCTGATAGAAATTTATAAGATTGCGAATGGTATGGATAGAGTGGAAAGTATGTGGCTTTTTCCTAGGGTGGAGGGGGCAATTACTAGGGGGCACAGGTTCAAGGTGCAAGGGGGGAAGTTTAAAAGAGATGTGCAAGGCAAGTTTTTCACACAAAGGGTGATGAGTGTCTGGAACGTGCTGCCAGAGGAGGTGGTGGAAGCAGACACAATAGCAGCGTTTAAGAAATACCTGGACAAGGGGAACAGAGGGATATGGATCCTGTAAGTGAAGACAGTTTTGGTGTGGAAGGACAAAATGTGTTGGTGCAGGCTTGGAGGGCCGAAGGGCCTGTTCCTGTGCTGTATTGTTGTCTGTTCTTTGATCCCCAGGCCCATGCCCACCATCTTCATCTGCCGTTCTGTCGAAGGCCCACTCTTGCTGATGCCGTTGCAAACAAGGTGAAAAGGTAAAAGACTTTAAAGAAAGAAAAAGATAAAAAGAAAATAAAAGCAGTAGAAGTAGAAAGCTGCTACTCCACCGCTGCCATCTTGGACATTAATTGGGGACTTTGTGTGCTTTGATTAAATCATTAACTTTTATGGTGACACTAAAAGTGGAGGAGCTTGAAAATCCTTTCCCAAGTCCTGGGGCAGCATGGTGGCTCAGTGGTTAGCACTGCTACCTCACAATATCAGGGACCCAGGTTCAATTCCACCCTTGGGTGACTGTCTGGGGGGGTGGAGTTTGCACATTCTCTCCCTGTCTGCATGGGTTTTCTCTCATAGCCCAAAGAATTGTAAATGTGGTGGAAAGGGTAGGGGGTCTTGGTGGGATACTTTTTGGAGGGTCAGTGTAAACTCAATGGTCTGAATGGCCTACTTCCATATGGTATGATTCTACAAGTGCGTTGTAACATCAGTTTCTCAGGCCCTTACTCTTAGACATGAGCTCCTCTATTAAACCACTTTATAAGACAGTGCAGTTTGACTGGGAGAAGGAAAAGAGAGAGGAGGCACAGAACAGAGCAGAAACACGCCAAAACTTAAAGTATTAGCGAAGGGAGAAGGCAGCTGTCCTGATGGACAAATGAAACTGGTAACTTTTACTGTTTACTGAGAGTTAGGCACAGTTGCAAATAACAGTGAAGAAACATGCTTGTGTGAAATTATTCTGCTCTCTTAGTTACAACAGTATATAACGTAATAGTTTTACAAAATTTCAAATAAAAGTTGAGTGAATTAAGAGAAAAAAGGTTAAGATGGTGGACAGCATAATTCATGTAAACTCTCACAAAAATCCTGCTTTCCCTTTCGAATGATGTTTAGTTTTGAGGTTATATTTTAAGAAAGAATCCCCTTGTAGACATTGGAACATTGCCACATTTTTCAAGTACTTCATCATAGGTCTTGCTGAAATTTCTCCAAGGCTTTCACATAGAAAGACATACAGCTAAGTTGCACGCAGCAAGATCTCACAAACAGCCCTCAGACAAGGAGTTGAGTTTTTCATTTTGGCTGGTCTTGTTTGAGAGACGGATCGTGATCAGGGAGCCACAGAGCTCTCTGCTCTCCTTTAAAGTGTGTCCAGTGTCCAGAATTGTGCATAGGAAGTTCGCTGTGGCTGAACATCCCCTCCAAATGCAAACACTTCCAGCTAAAGGAAGTACAGTGCTCATCAGATGCCAAGTATTTCACAACCAGTAGATCACACTGAAAGGTCAATAACCTTTCATCATTAGGCAGTTTCCTGGCTGTTAACACACAGATAGATTGCTAACTTGGCCAAACAGTAAAGGATGCTGGATATATTGGCCAAATGAAACTCTGAAATCACAAAACCTACACACCAGACACATTGCAAACACAACAACCAGATGTTAACGACATTATCATAATGTAAAAGGCAACAGTTATTCCAGACAGACACCCCCAACAACTTATCCACCAAACAAAGGACAGCCATGACAGAAAGGCACTGGGTCCTGCTACACAAAGAAACTACAGTAGCCGTCTAACTGATTGCCTCTTGTTTCAAACTATTAAATGTATCTCCTGATTGGCCAGAACATCAAGGACTCATCGCACCCCGAAAATGATCTTCTACAACCTCTTCCATCAGGCAGTAGATACAGAAACCTGAACACACACACGAGCAGGTTCAGGAACAGCTTCTTCCCAGCCGTTATCAGACTGATGAATGGACTCTCTAGCCTCAAATAATGTTGATCTTGCTAATGCTGATCTCGCCTAATGCACGCCCTGTGCAATGTAACCTGTATGCCTCTTGTCCAATTTGATCTGTACATCCTTTGCTTACTATGATCTGCCTGAACTGCTCGTAAACAACTTTTCACTGTATTTCGGTACACGTGACAATAAATAAGTCAATCAATCAATCAACTATAGGAAGTTCCAGAAAACCATCTAAAAGGTATAAAACATGGGTTCACCTGCAGACCTCCCTCTTGGAACCACTCTCACAGTCTCTGGAATCGTCTGAGGCCTTCTGAGGAGAACAGCATGGCAAGAGGCAGAAACCAGTCGACCATCGGAGAGACAGAGGAAGAAAGCAGTTTCACAGACCCAGACACACAGCCACGGAGAGAGTGGCCAAGTGAGTCTACAAGAGACTCGGAAAGTATTGTAACCTTAAGGAGCCAAACAGAATTAGGGATAGTATGTTTAGTATTAAAGATTATTGTAATTTTGCTCCTAATTAAAGTGGGAATATTTTGCTTCAGTATCGGCTTGTGTTCATATTGATTTGCCTGCTTTAGTATTGTGGGACACCTGGGCAAATTCATTCACAACATTCTGGTCGGAGTTGTCTGTAACTTCTTTAAAGAGGAACCAGACAATTATTGGAAATGGAAAGTGTGATCTTTCCAGCTTCCTGGAGCATTCCTAGATTCTTCCAGTTCTGATAAAGGGCCATTGACCTGAAACATTAACCATGTTTCTCTCTCACTGACGTTGCCTTACCTGCTGAGTTTCTCCAGCACTTTCGGTTTTTATTTCCGATCCCTGGCAATGCACAGTATTTAATCTTTGCATCTCTGGAAACAGATTATCTAGCTGTTGTCACAGTGTTGTTTGTGGGAGTTTGATGGTAGCTGCATTTCTTAAACATTGATAGCAACTATCCTTCACAAACAAAAATACTTACTTGATTGAAATGCACAGTGGTAGAGCTGGAGGGTGGGAAGGGTACTACAGAAATGTAAGTCTCAGAGCAGGGCGAGCATGGCTGTGAAATCTGCTGTGGCTCTGCAGCAACAGCTGGGTGACATACCTTCAGTAACAGCTGGTACTTTGTTAACCGTTGAATGGGTTTCAGTAAGTATGAGTCCAGTCCAAGTTTATGATCCAGTTTACGTTGACATTCCTGGTAAAGAGCACACAAGTTAGGAAGAGATTATAATATCGGCTCCGAGAAAAAGCACCAAGCAACTCTGAATTCGATGTGAGCTGATCATCACAGCAGCTTATATGTATGAATGTAAGAAATGGGAGCGGGAATAGACCATTCAGCCCTCAAGCCTGCTCCTCCATGTCTGCTCTCGTATCCCAACTCACTTCTTTTGCTCATTCCCCACATCTCTTGATTCCCTGAGAGATCAAAACTATCATAGCCCTGAATATCATCAATGGTAGAGCACTCAAAGCCCTTTGGGTTAGACAATTCTAAAGGTACTTTACTCTCCGAATAAAGACAGTTGTGGGAGGCGATGGCCTAGTGGTATTATCGCTGGACTGGTAATCCAGAGACCCAGATAATGTTCTGGGGACCTAGGTTCAAATCCCACAACAGCAGATGATGGAACTTGAATTCAATAAATATGTGGAATTAACAATCTAATGATGACCATGAATCCATTGTTGGGGTAAAACCCATCTGATTCACTAATCCCCTTTGGGGGAAGGGGGAAAAGAACTACCGTTCTGGCCTACATGTGACTCCAGACCCACAGCAATGTGGCTGACACTAGGCAATTAGGGATGGGCAATGAATGCTGCCTGGCCAGCAATGTCCCTCATCCTGTGAATGAATAAAATTTACCTGCTCTCAGGGAGTCCAGGGTTATGGTGACAGAGAGGTAAGTACAGTTTAGACCTCAATCACATCAGCCATGATCTTATTAAATAGCAGATCAGGCTCAAAGGGCCTGTTCCTGCCTCCTAAATCCCCTGTTTCTATCAACCCTTAATCTGAGGCTCTGGACTCACCAGCCCGGGGGGGCGCAGTATCCATCACATCAGTATCTTGTCTGTTTAGACTACAATTCTTTAAAACATAGAAGCAGAAGTAGGCCATTCAGCCCATTGAGCCGGCTCCACCATTCAATGAGATCATGGCTGATCTAATTAGCCTCAGCTCCACTTTCCTTCCATTTCCCCATAACCCTTGATTCCCTCCCTGATTAAAAATCTGTCGATGTTTCGGTGAGATCACCTCTCTTCTTCTAAACCCCAGGGAACATAGGCTCAAATTGCTCAGTCTCTAATCGACGATAAACGTCTTATCCAGAAACCCTCACTGTCCCACTTCTGGTGCTACGATACCATTTTTAAATACGAAGGTCATAAATGCTAACAGCTAAACTTGCAGATCAGACTCCCCCTTCCTGTATTCCAACCCCCTTACAGTGAAGCCAACATTCTGTTTATTTCCTCAGTATTTGCTGGAATGCAAGCAAACATTTTGCATTCCTTGTACGAGTACATGCAAGTTTCTCTGAATGTCAACATTTAAGTTGCAATGAAGAGTCACACTGGACTCAAAACGTTAACTCTGTTTTTCTCTTCACAGGTGCTGAGTTTCTCCAGCATTTACACAGAAACAGGACTAGGCCATTCAGCCGTCGTACTCCACCTTTCAATGGGATCATGGCTGATCTGTGGCCTAGTGGTGATCAAGAAGGCATATGGCATGCTTGCCTTCATTGGTCTGGATCCAGAGTATAAACATTGGCAAGTCATTTTGCAGCTGTATTGAACTTTAGTCAGAGATAGTAGGAACCGCAGATGCTGGAGAATCCGAGACAACAAGGTGTAGAGCTGGATGAACACAGCAGGCCACCGAAACGTCAGCCTTCCTGCTCCTATGATGCTGCTTGGCCTGTTGTGTTCATCCAGCTCTACACCTTGTTGTCTTGAAATTTAGTCAGGCCACATTTGGAATATTGTGCACAGTTCTGGTCACCGCACTCCAAGATGGATATGAAGGCTTTGGAGAAGGTACAGGAAAGGTTTATCAAGATATTTCCTGGTTTGCAGGATACTAGCTATGAGGAGAGAGTGGACAAACTCTGTTTGTTTTCACTTGAGAGTTGGAGGCTGAGGGGGCAACCTGATAGAAGTTTACAAAATTATGACAGGCATAAATAGAATGGATAGTCGGAGTTTTTCTCCCAGGGTACAGATGTTAATTACTAGGGGACACAGGTTTAAGGTAAAGGGGGGTAAGTTTAAAGGGGATGTGAGAGGTGAGTTTTTTTTTAAACAGAGGGTGGTAGGTGCCTGGAATATGCTGCTACAGGAGGTGGTAGAAACAGGTACAATAGCAATGTTTAAGAGGGATCTTGACAGATACATGAATAGGCAGGGAATAGGGGGATACAGACAGCATAGAGGCAAAAGGTTTTACATTCAGAAAAGTGTTATGTGTCAGCGCAGGCTTAGTGGGCCAAAGGGCCTGATCCTCTGCTGTAGTATTCTTTGTCCTAACTCCATAAACCTGGCTTTAGCCCATATCTCTTAATACCTTTGCCGAATAAAAATCTATCTATCTCAGATTTAAAGTTAACAACTGATCCAGCATTCACTGCCAATCCTGGAAGACAGTCCCAAACATCTACTGCCATTTACCTGTTTGTATTTAAAAGTTTTATGCTTTTTAATGAGTTTTCTGTCTTTCTATTTTTATTACTAAAGGGAATAAGCTCACACTTCCGCTCAGCATAATTGGTTTTCCACACTGTTACCCACATTCCTAATTGGAGTCTCTCTCTTTGGAGCCTCTCAATGTCATTTTCACACTGACATTTGTGGGAGGTAGATCGATTTTTTGAAATACAGGGATTTGGCAGCTAGACCGAGCTGGCACTAAAGGGTATTTGAAGCCTGGGACAGATCAGCCATGATTTTGTTGAAATATAGAAATGAAAACCAGGAGCAGTAGTAGGCCATTCGGCCCTTCAAACCTGCTCTGCCATTCAATAAGATCATGGCTGATCCTCTACCTTAATGTCGTATTCTTGCTTTCTGGTGTTTGAAAGGCAGGGCATGCTGATGAGGGGCCGAGTGGCCTACATATGCTCCTATTTCATATTGTCTTCTTCCTAGTTAGCTTTGTATCGACAGTGAACTTTGATACATTACTCTGTGTACCTTCAGCAAGGCTTGAAGGGAGCAGAATGGGGAGTGTTGCAGCAACCTGCCAGATATCACACCCCCATCGGAGAGAAGAAATTCCTTCTCAACTGTTTCATATGTGCGGCCGCTTATTCTCAGGTGATGCCCTCTGGTCCTAGACTCTCCCACAGGAACCAGAGCAGCCCATTTGTGCACAGCAAGTTCCCACAAACAGCATTGCTTCCTTGCTCTTTCACGGGATGTGGTCATCGTTGGCTGGGCCAGCATTTGCCACCCATCCCTAATTGCCCCTTAAGGTGGAGGCAGGCGTCTCTTTGAACTGCTGTTTTTAAGGTGGGATTTCCAGGATTTTGACCCAGCAACAGTGAAGGAACGGCAATATATTTCCAAATCAGGATGGTGAGTGACTTGGAGGGGAACTTGCAGGGGAAGGTGTTCCCATGTATCTGCTGCCCTTGTCCTTGTAGATGGTAGAGGTTGCACTGAGGTTAGAACCTATTGATCCTACAGGCCTCTGGATTACCACTGTCACCTCGGTTGCACAATGCTAGCAAGAGTCAGAAACCCATCTCACTCTTTTCAAGTCATAGCTTCAAGATCACGCTGACTGCATAAAATGAATAGGCATCATTTCCCCTTTGGCCAATTACCTTCAATCTGTATCCTCTGCTTACAGTCACTCCTGCCACTCGAAACTGCTTCCATCTATTCCCTCTATCAAAACCCTTCATGCTTTGAAAAGATTTTTAAAATCTTGCCTTAACTTTCCCTGTTCTCAGAAAAGAAATCACCAGATTCTCCACAGAGCCAAAGTTCCCATCCCTCTTGTAAATTTGTTCCACACCTTTCCAAAGCATTAGCATTCCTTTGAAGTGATGGTGCCTAGAGTTGAACCCAGTACGCCAGCATTGCCTGGCCAATCCACCAGTTTTGCATTACCTTTCTGTTTTGCACTTTGCTCCTCTGTTGATGTGGTCAAGGCTAATTTGCTTATTATCTGAATGGTGATGGTTTGAGGAAGGAGGAGGTGCAGCAAGACCTGGGTATCCTTGTACACCATTTACTGGAGGTAAGCATACATATGCAGCAGTTGGTGAAGAAGGCAAATAGTATGTTGGAGATTTGAGTACAGGAGCAGGGATGTCTTGCTGCAATTGCACAGGGCCTTGGTGAGACCACCCCTAGAGTATTGCATGCAGTTTCGGTCTCCTTATCTGAGGAAGGATGTTCTGGTGACGGAGGGAGTGTAACAAAAGGTTTATCAGACTGATTCCTGGGATGGCAGAACTAATGTATGATGAGAGACTGGATCACTTAGGATTATATTCACCGGAGTTTAGAAAAATGATGGGGGAATATCATAGAAACCTGTAAAACTCTAACCAGGTTGACAGGGAAAATGAAGGAAGGATGTTTCTCAAGACTGGAGATTCCAGAACCAGTGATCACAGTCTGAGGATACGGTGTGGGTACTTAGGAGTGAGATTAAGGAAAAATTTCTTTGCTCAGGGAGTGGTGAGCCTGTGGACTTCTTCGTTACAATAAGCAGTTAAGGCCAAAACATTGGATGTTTCCAGGAAGGAGGAGATGTAGTTCTTAGGGCTAAAGGGATCAAAAGGGTTTGGGGAGAATGTGGCAAAAGGGGACTGAGTTGGATGATCAGCCGTGATCTTATTGAATGGCGGAGCAGACTCAAAGAGCAGAATGGCCTACTCCTGCTCCTAGTTTCTATGTTTCATGAATAACTTTCTCAGCTTGTTCTGCCCCTTTTAAAGATTGGTGTACACAAAGCCCCCAAGTCTCTATATTCCTGCGACTCATAAAAAAACCCAACCATTTGATTCATAAGAGATAACAAGGTGTAGAGCTGGATGAACACAGCAGGCCAAGCAGCATCAGAGGAGCAGGAAAGCTGATGTTTCGGGCCTAGACCCTTCATCAGAAATGGGGGAGGGGAAGGGGGTTCTGAAATAAATAGGGAGAGAGGGGGAGGCAGATAGAAGATGGATAGAGGAGAGGATAGGTGGAGAGGAGACGGACAGGTCAAAGAGGCGGGGATGGAGCCAGTAAAGGTGAGTGTAGGTGGGGAGTTAGGGAGGGGATAAGTCAGTCCAGGGAGGACGGACAGGTCAAGGGGGCGGGATGAGGTTAGTAGGTAGGAGATGGGGGTGGGGCTTGAGGTAGGAGGAGGGGATAGGTGGGAGGAAGGACAGGTTAGGGAGGCGGGGACGAGCTGGACGGGTTTTGGGATGCGGTTGGGGGAGGGGAGATTCATAATATCATTTTGGATCAACATTTTTGAAAAAGCTATTACCTGAAAGAAAGGGCAGTCTGAGCACTGTCTCCAAAGATGTTCTGAGCGTGGCTTGTTCTGACAGTATTTCACATACATTTGGAAATTGTCCCTCTAAAGATCAGAGTGAGAAATACTGACATGAAACACCATCAGATGCAATTAATATAAATGTCAGTCTAAAGAGCAGAAAGTTCATACCCTCTGAAGGAAGCAGACTCCTACTTTCTCTGGCATCTCGATGCAGTTCTGGAGGTCATTAAGAAAAATCCTGAGGAAGATATGAGCTATTAACAAAGGCAACTTTCATCCAAAAACATCTACTGCAATCTACAGAGAGCACAGTGTGTCTGATTTATACCTGCTGTGAAAATCATAGATCTCTGACATATTCCCAAATAATATCTCCTTCTGGTTCTCCAATAAAGCAGGCATAAGAGATATCATCATCGGATTGTCCATCTCCATTTTGTAACCCTGAAAAGTACACAGAAAATCAACTTGAGCCAATATATGGAGATATGAAGCAGAGGTAACATCAGCTCTATCCAGTCAATGGCCAAATTTTATTTCAGTTCTGACAACTAATATCTCAAACTCCAATTTGCCTTTGGAGGTCACACAGTGATTTCTAACACTCCTGGAAGTTGGCAGCTTTTAATTTGGTAACTGTTGTATTTTTGTGATAAGAGTGGGGTTGATGAAGAAGTTGCAACCAAATATTTGTCTGACCAACCTCAAGTTTACACCTAACGCATCTCTCACAAAAACCTCCAACTACCTTCATT